TCACTCCCGCCTCTTTCAAGAGTGCAAGTACAACTCTTAGTCTACGGATCATCAAGGCAAACAGATGAATAACTACTTCTCAGCCACAGGGAGACACAGGCCATGATTCCTAGGGTATGAATTGTTCAACAACTCCAAATGGAAGGATAATCAAGCTATGACACCTGATTACTAAGTCTAAAATTCTGAAACTGTGCCTAACCGACTGTAACATTCTAGGCTCACAAATACGACTCACAAGCTAACAACGGCATTTCACTCCCATTTTCAGTTTGATATGACGAATTTGCAGATACAATCAGCAAAAGAAATTGACCTGACGAGCCACGGCATGAAATCCATTGTCGAGTGAGTGCTCAGCGAAATTCAGCCACTCCTCATACGAGACTCGCATCCACTGATCAGCGGAGGATTTGATATCCCGCAGCAGCAATCCCTCGTACTTGAGCGCCAAACAACTCTGTCAAACACGGAGGAAACGACGGTTGAAAGTCAGATGAAATACAAGAGACTGATCGGGAACTGTCTCCGAGGATGAGAATTCGCACCTCGATGTCGCCTATCAGAGCGAAAGCGCGGACAAAGAACTCGACGACCGAAAGCTTCTGCTCGACTGTGCGCTGTGAGAGCTCGCGAATGACAGCGAGAGATTCCGATCTCATGAAGTCTTTCAAACTCGACCGCGTTTGCATGATCGACTTCACGTCTTTGCAAGCAAGAACCGATTCGAGAATTCTCAGGGATTGGTCGTCGAATCTGCGAGAGTCGACAGAGATTGCAGAAAGAATTGAAGCAAAATTTGAACATTGTGGAGGGCGAGTAGAAGACTGGGTAGGAGAACGAGGGATTTCACAGAAGGAACCTTCTGGCGACGATTTGGGAGCGAAAGAGACGGGTGTGCTGAGCAGTTTCTGGGAGCGACATTTGTGCAATGGAATTGGCGGGGAAGGACTGTACCTTGTGATTTGTTATTTACTTATTTTCACGGTGATTAAAGGCAAACCCCAGGATCGGTTGTTCTCTCCTTTGTTGTTAGTCGATTACGGTGGAAAAAAACGAGAGAAGAGGGAAGAACCTATGGGAAGTAAGAAAAAAAAAAAAAAAAAAACTGAGCGCTCTCAATCGTGTCTCCCTTTTCGGAGAAGTGGGGGGTAACCGCCTTTATGCGCTTATGGCCGTCGGCCTTCCCGTCGTCGTGCGGCGACGCGGCCTGGTTCTCCGGGACTGCATGCCTATAAATTGCTGGGCGTTGGTGGGGGATGGTACCCGATTTGCTTCTTCTGATTCTCAATTAGACAACCGTTACTCGTGTGGGTTTTCTTTCACCATGGCTGTAGTTCAGTTTGACGACGAAGACTTGGCGGCCGGACTTGCCCGGGGGGAGCTCTCGTTGATCGGCCGGCTAATTGGCTCGCCTCCGCCGCTCTACGCGCTGAGGATGATGCTGGGATCGAGTGTGGCGGTACAAAGGCGACCTCACGATCTCCGCCACCGATGAGGGGTTGACTCATTTCCTCTTTTCCCAGAAGGCGGACCTACACAAGGCGGTTTCCAAATTGCCTTGGATTTTCGACAATTTCATGTTGGTGCTGGCGCGGTGGGAAGACCCATCCCCTGCGGTGGCCGATCGTCTTCGTTGGGCTGCTGTCCCGGTGCAGATCTGGAAGGTGCCTTTTGCCTGTTTCACGGAGAAGATGGCGTGGCGGTTGGCCTCTTCTCTCGCGGCTCTTGAGGAACCGCCCACTCTCCATCGTTTGGATACCTCGGGCGGGTTGTACATTCGAGCGGAGCCGGTCCTGGATCTCACTGCCGCACTGCCGGATGAGATTACTGTTGGGCACGTTGACCACACGAGAGGTAACTTTGTTGCTTTGGTTAAACTGGAGAAGGTACCTCACTTTTGCTTTCTCTGTGGTGTCATTGGGCATATTGGAGAGAACTGTACAAGGAAGGAGGAGTTTGCTGGAGTTGCCCCGAAGTATGGTGTCTTTTCCGTAGCATTATGTCCAGATTGGTTACAGTTGCTACACACTTGTAGTGATACACCCTCTCTTGGCCAATCCATCTCGTTGGGAATTCTTGTTGTTCATGGACTCCCCGACTTCATAATCATGTGCACATTAGGATGGAGAGTAGGGTCATTATGCTTCTTCCAACCCTTAGGTTCACCAAGAAGTATGAAACTTGTCCCATTACAAGCCAACATTGTTTCAAGCTTGTAGACGTTTTTTACAAACCTATACGGATTAGCCCCCATCCGGTTGCAAGCTGCAATGGCATGAGAGCAAGTAATTTTATTTCCTTGAAATTTCCCACAAGTGCAAAATTCAACCCGATTGTTGTCGTCGAAGTGCACAGTGAGTGGGTTCGAACCCGTCATGTTGAAATTGTTGGGAGGAGTCTTAACTACATAGATGCCCTGACGTCGATCAACTCCCGTCACGGAATGGCCAACTGCCTTTTGTGACCATGGCTTCATCGGCTCTTCGCATGGGATGGTGTACTGTGAACGAACACTTCCTATTTGGGCTTCTGTCTCGAACCTCATCTTATTGAATTTCTCCAACAATCATCAATAAGTATGTTGCACAAGAGAAGCTTTAGGAAGTGAACGAATACCTTTGAAAACACCATTGATCCTCTCTGCCATGTTGGATGTCAGGATAGACCATCGACGCCCACCATTATAGTTATCATGTGCTAAGCTCCAACGAATTTGATTTTGGTCCACCTAGTTATCACAAGAAATATTCCTATCAGCGGCCATCTTCTTAAATTGCTCAACTTGACGATCAAACTTCTTCAAGCGTTTTTCTCTTGCTATCAAAATAAATAACCACACGAGTTAGATAAATTCATGAAAAAATTAAATGAAAATAAATAATAATTTAAAATAAATAACAAAATTAAATGAAGAAGGCTTACCGACTCGAAATAGTTGCTTATACATAATTATGCTTTTAGTCTTCCATTGCAAATTGTTTGCATAGTGTCGCATGCACCATCTCCACTTTCAACCTCTTCCGATGTCACTCATGGCTTCATAGAGTCCCGCATGTCTATTTGAGATGATGCATACATCATTTCAATCGGTCAAACCTTGAACGTGACTTATAAACCATGGCCAACTATCAGTATTCTCGCCCTCCACTATGGCAAATGCGATTGGAAAAATCTTCTTCCGGCCATCAAATGAGCTCACCATGAGTAGCAATCCTTTATACTTTCCAGTAATAAACGTTCCATCAACAACCTTGACTCCTGGACAATTCTTGAATCCATCTATACAAGGTGCATAAGCCCTGAATACTCGCTGAAAGATCAAATGACCTGGTTGCGATGAAGGAACTCTTACCCAATCAATCACTGATGTTGGCATTTTTCTCTTCACCACCAGCAAGAATGTTTGCAAATAATCGTAGGATTCTTCCCAATTTCCATGCAACTTCTCCAATGCTCTTTGTTTCCCATACCAAGCCTTCTTGTAAGTAACTTGCATATTAAACTTATCTTTCAACTCGGCCTGCATAGTTAGAACACTCAGATTTGGTTGGGCACGTACCAAATGTTTCACGGACTCAGATATAATGTCGACATCAAGATGACGATGATCCATCGGTTGAGTCATATTGCTACAAGAATGCACCAACTCGGCCTTTCTCACAGTGCATTCGCTTCCAACATCTCGACATTCAAATTGCACCATCCAAGGACAATTGTCATCCTTGTGCTTCAAGCATCTGACCTTCCAGATTGAAGGTGATGACTCCACCATGCCATACTGAAAGTTGCGTTGTAGTGTGTGATGTTTAATCTCCACCTGTGCAGCTTGTTTCGAGTGAAATATTTGCCACTTGTAGAATTCTCCTTCAAAACCAGCAACAACATGCATTAGAATTACTCCATATGAATCAACATATGATAATTCGTCGTCCTCTTCATTACCCTGCAAGTAAAAATTTGGAGGATAATTAGGCTGCTCTACTTCCCCATCTTCCTCCTCCTCCTCATCATCATCTTCCTCCTCTCTGTTAACATCGTCATGATCGGATGGCATGCTCCATATCTCATCTTCTTCCTCTACACCCCGATCCTCACTGAGTTTAGCATGTATCTCAGCACCCAAACAAAAAGGGTTTTGTGCCATAAAATTCCAAAGCGCATTCAAGCTATCATCATCCACAATAGGCATCGCATAATGAAATAAAACACCATTCTACCATTCTGGAAGACAGTAAGTGAAACTTGTGATCATATCACTATCTTGTACTACTTCGTCTTTACGCCGTATTCTCTGATGGATGGCACCGTCAACTGAAAACATCTACCACCAACGAAACGAACGCCCAAATTATCCTCTACTTTCTCTGATTTCCACCGAACGACTAGTTCAAATCTTCTAAAATCACTATATAAAAAAACAAACTCACTAATTACTAACTAAAAAAATCATAATAGCATTTGAAGAATATAATTAAAAAAATAAATGTGTCTCTTACCTATTAGCCATCTTTGCAGCAACCAGAGCTACTTCGTCTAACTTTGGAACATCGTTTTTTTTTTTGTGCCGAGACTGAAATGAAAATCATTGGGAATAATATATAGTGCTGGAGTGGGTGTGTAGGACAGCGAACCCGCCCTAGTCTCGGGCGCCCCCGTTGGCCATCAAACACGACTTAGTCTAGGGTGCTACAGTTGGTCAATGATTTTTGGACATTCAACAACCAAAAGGAGGGCGCAAACGCCCCAGTCTCGAGCGGACCAGCTCGAATTGGTTGAAAAAAATTCAAATAGCGTGTCCGCGTGAGTGTGGGTCGGATTCGCTGTTTTCCATTTGTGTCAATAGTTTTTAAACCGCCATATTGGTGGTAAAATTAAAAAAAAAAAAACAAATTGTGTAGATTCTCCGTAAAACTTCAGGTGCTGAACAGAATTTTGTAAAAAGAAAATATCGAAAACACATTTGCCCCTTCTCAAGCCTCGAGTCCATAAACGTGGTAGCTACTAGCTAGCGTGCTGATTGCTGAAAGCTGAAATTCCCTTTCCGCTCTGGTTGCGAGTAATCTCAATTTCAACGACTAAAATGTCGGAACGAAACCATCATCTCCGACGCCCTCTCTCTCCTCGCTCCATCGACGACCGCCGCCTACGGGATCGCCTCCCCGTTTCCGTGGCCTCCTCCGACCGCAGGCACGCTCACGCTTCAATCATCCTCGAGGACCGCATTGCAATTCAGCACCACGAAATTCAATCCCTACTCATCGAGAAGGACCGCCTCGCCGCCACCCACGTCGCGCTGAAGCAGGAGCTCGCTCTCGCGCAGCAGGACCTCCGCCACTTGGCGGCGGCCGCGGTGGAGGTCAAGGCCGAGCGGGATGGCCAGGTGAGGCAAGTTCTGGAGCGATCGCTGAAACTCGACGCCGAGCTGCGGGCGACCGATGCGATGACCGCCGAGCTCGTTCAGGTGAGAGGCGACGTGCATACGCTTGCTACGCAGCGCGAGGAGCTCGTTCGGGAACTGGAGGCGATCAACAGAGATTTGATGAAGGCTAGGGAAGATGCCGATTTTGCTCCCGGGATTAGGTCTGAGATTCAGAAATTGCGGCAGGAGATTCAGAAAGGAAGGTAAGTTAGGGCTTATTGGCAGTTTTCATTCCTATTTCCACCTATTAATTCGAACTTATGAGTTAATATGGAAGCGCCACTCCGTTTGATGCAGTAGCATTTCCTATGCGACTTCAGCTGCAGCAATGCAGTTAAAACTACTAATGGCTAAGCTGTAGTATTTGGTATTTAATTTTGATATTCTGCTATTGCAATTGATGATGATATGGTGGTCTGCACAAGATAGGAAGAACAAAGAGGATAAGAGTCAATACCTTGACAATGGAAAACCACACGAAAAGGAATTGATTGCACTGGACTGCTGGTTTTCTAAACAATAATTCTTAAATCCGCTTCTGTGTCCGGTTTTTGGATGAAATGTAGGGCTGCAATTGATTATGAGAAGAAGACACGTTCCAGCAACCTTGAGCATGGTAAGGCAATGGATAGAAATAGGGTTCTGCTTGCTGAAGAAATAGACAGACTCTGTGCTGAGCTAGTGAAAGCAGAGAAAAGGGCAAGAGCAGCAGCAGCAGCAAATGCAACAGCAAACCTAGGTAAAAAGTTTGTCTTTGCACATGGTTATTTTTCCCCAGAGCTATGTTTCTTACAGACCTGTCATCTAACTCATGATATTCAGATGTTACAGATCCTGCTTATGGAAGCTATGCCAATCATGGGATAGAGTATGGAGTTGGTCCTTATCATGACCAATACGGCAAACCTCAGGTACCGTTCTCTCTTACAATTCCAATATTATCTTCTTAGTCATCGTACCACTTACAGAATGGTTGGTTGGACTTGCTCTGCATGAAGAAAATCTGCTACTGGCTTGATTTCCAGGCACATTAAACTGTACTAGGTCAAACTTCATAGCTCGCTCCTTTGTTACTCTTAACTGGATGCTTCCTATCCTCATCCATCCATACTTAACGTGTACATGAGGACCAGCCCATGACACATATGCTAAAGCGCACTCCACCAGTATAGTGTTTCTGTCAACTCGACTACTTTCTCTGTTGGTAATATCCATTTGAGTTATCAATATCGGTTAGTTTGTGCTCCATCAAACAAATCACATTGGTGTGACCACTACAACTTCACTTCTTCCAGACCAACTCGAGTTTTGCAATTTGGGGACGTCAACATTTGACACAGTTATGAGATCTTTGAATTGCTCTAGGACCTACAGACGTTTACTGTCCACTAGGATGAGAACAAATATAACTTTCAGCGGCCGGGAAGGCTAACCCAGCCAAAAGCTTCTCCATGATGGTGTATGGTCCGCATGTTCATTTGCTGGGTTGTTTTTATGCGCCCGTATGTAGAAGCATATGTGCTCGAATCTCTTCACCTTATCGTGATTTACATTACTTGTTACATTTTCAGGTTCGAGGTGTTCCCGATGGCACACCTCTGCATGCTTCCGGATCAACATCGAACGGTGCTTGCGATATGGTGCGGCAAGAGCCAACGAACAGATAGCAGGCACATGGTATCACGCTCTGGTTAATGTCTATTTTTGGTTCCACGCACATATCAGAAGGATTCCATCTCTGCAAGATCAGTTCATGTACGAGATCTGGCCCTAGGGTGGATGAGCCATGGCATCATGCTTTGACGAGATTTTGTTTTTCGCGCCATTGTCACCAACAGCAGAAGTAATAGGATGACAAGTCCATGACTTGGTGAAGACAACATTGTTACATGATGGAGGTGGTGCCATCTGTCGCGGTCCAATCATTGGCGAAGGAAGGATATTAACAGCAGTCCAAAATGTTTAAGGGAGACGCAATGAGGTAGAAGCACGCTTGTAAGACTCGTTTTTGGAAAATTTCGTCAACTTGGCCGTCTCTGTAAGATCGGTTCATGTATGAGATCTGGGCCTAGGGTGGTTGTACTTGCTATTAACATTTGTCTAGTTGGAGTCCATATGAAGGATTTTAACAGAAATCATCCTGAATACCAAGCAAAATCCCTTGACTGATCAAAATGTTGTCCACAGCACAAACAAAAATGATGAACAAGCGTCACGGAGAAACACGGCTTTCAATTTCCGACCATTACATAAGTGTCGGATGTTCATATAGTTTCTCTCATTCATGTTCTTAAAAGTTAAAACCCACTAAAATTGATGTACCAAAATTCACAATCAAGAGCTCCAATCCCTACACTGAGAACCTAGCTGGTTGTCACGAATTTAGGTGCTGCTCCATGAAGAAATCATCTAGCATTCGACTACTGTCACTCTTTGCAGAGGAAGGTGCTAGCTAGCTCTTGATCCGTTTTGCAGGAGATATCAAGAAACCCAACAAACGAGTCGTCGATCACCAGCGAACTCTTCACATCCAATTCCACATCCAAGAGGCAATGGCAGATCATTCATACGAATCCAAGAAACATGTAATACTCCACACACACCCTAATAGTCAAATTCTTCTGAAAAGATCACCAAAAGAGCCCCCATACATCAATGTAATTAATTGCCGTGCTGCTTCACATCTGCTTGTTCAGAGCAAAGGCATACAAAAGTTTGTTTCAAACAACATAGTAGCACCCACCCATATCCTGCGCGAAAACACGACTGTTGGAAAGAATCCCACACCAGCTAGTGTATTATCCTCGGACCATTTTCAGGCATGCAATATAACTTGGGACTAATGCACGACGGCAAAAGAAGCTGATTACTCACCTGAATACAACCAACCTACCTTAAGCAGCAAGCAAGCAATTCGGAGTTTCTATCCACTTGCGTCTATAAAGAAAAGACAATTCACACAAGCTGAATCAATTGTGTGCATAGGGGGGAACGATCAAGTCTACAGTAAACAGGAAAGGAGAGAAAGGGGTATTGCTCTGTGAACAACCTACCTCTTAGTCTCCCTCCAGTTAAGAACAACCCCTCAAGGTAATGGAACATAGTAAAACACCCTCAGACACAATTCCTAGAGTACAAAATAACCGCATAACAGAGAGCAGAGTCCTTAGTACGGGCGTGAACGGTTCCCTCCATGCTGATGCCTGTCGGGCCCAGAACCGTCTCTGTAGTTATCCCTCCGCCCACCATATCCACCACCACCTCTTCCGCCTCCACTGTTGCACAGTAAATGAAACCATTCAGTGAAACTATGTAAACTGATTCATGCAAAACGGTAATAGAACAGTCCAGTTTCAACGGAATCACAAGTGTCAAATTAGCTCTACCTAAATTTCATATGAAAGAGAGAGAGAGAGACTGAAGAGAAACAAGACAAGTGACAAGCTTGCTTTTATTATTAGGAAAGGTCAATAAAAGTATAAAACCATGTAACTGATCTTGAAAACTTTGACGAAGACTTGATATGAGAATAAGAGCAGCTAAGGACTTCAACAGAATCTTTAATCATGATAATGATAATAATAATAATAATAATAATAATAATAATAATAATAATAATAATAATAATAATAGCACTCAAACTAACAACAGAAAGAAAAGGAAAAAAAAGCAGGACTCCATTGGCATTTGTTCATGAAAAGGACATAAATAGTCAAAATAATATACCCGTGCTCAGGTTGCCTCAAAGCTGTCTTCTCTGCCATGACAACACTAATTTTTTTACCTCTCATCTCGTAATCTGAAAGAGAAAATCAAATATATCAGCAATTGTAAATAAATTCCGTGTGTCAAGATCCAGGTAAACAGTTTGAGCCCGTACTGTTGTAGAAGCCACCAGCAGAATGTGCAGCAGATGGATCCTCATAAGACAAAACTGCATCGCCTTTCTGGGTGCCCTTTTCATCAGTATATATCTTTATGTTCCAAGGCCATTGATCCTTGTAGCCCCTCTTCTGCTTAATCCTTCCAACCTGTCAACATATTTCAATTTTAGTAAGGACTTTCCTAACATGCAAGCTGCTGTCACAGAAAAGAATCATAAATTGAAGTAGATATGCATTCCCGCATCAGAAAGAAAAAGTTATAAATAAAATGGAAGGACTGATTATCCCAAAGTAACTGATTTTAGACAAGAATCAGATTTGCAAATGCGAAGAGCAAAAGAAGAGCCTCCCATAATCAGTATGTGTTTCAATCCAATAAACTTTCAAACAGTTTGGAAATCTTAATATGAAAGAAAGGCACCAAGATCGTACTACTACTGCGAATTAATGACCAGTTACTCTACCAAAGAAAAAAAGAATCTCATGTCGAAGATCCCAAATCTGAGAGTGAAGGAAAATATGAAAAATGCAAATAAACAAAGAAAATCCAGCATTACTTGTCCAATTCCACCGAACAGCTCTTTCAATTCTTCAACCGTCACATCAGCAGGCAAATTAGATATGTAAATTCTAGAGTTGTCGCAGTTGTCGCCACAATTCTCATCACATTGCTTAATTGATGGAGCTGCATCAGCACTAGCACCATTACCACCATAACCACCACTTACTCCTTGATTCCTTGATCCACCACTGCTACCATACCCACCTGGAGGGCCACCACGACCACCGCCTCTTGTATCACCAGTAGCTTCACCGCCATAGCCAGCCACAGGAGGAGCACCATAAGACGGAGGGTATGATGTAGGACCACCAGTATAGCTTGTAGGTGGCGCAACTGCATTGGCACCACCATAATTAGCATTCCCTCCATATGAGTTGGGAGGTTGAGGATAATTACCTCCACCACTACCATAAGTTGGAGCTGCTGCAGGTGGCGGCACCTGATTATATCCATCATCATCTCCTCTACCACCATAAGACCCACCTCTACTGCCGCTGCCGCCTCCACTTCTACTCTCATAACCCCCACTTCTACCACCACTGCTGTAACTTCCACCTCTATTGCCATCATCTCTGCCACTCCCTCGATTACCAGAATACCCACCCCCTCTGTTATAACCATTCCCACCTCCACCTCCACCACCACCACCGCGATCATTGTTGGCACCAGCGGGAGAAGGCGTGTTGCACTTATTGCACTCAGTTCTTCTTGCAAAGTTCAAGTTCCCACAACTATTTAACGCAGCAAATAGGACTTCCAAGAGTTAGAACAGTACCCTGATGGAAGACGATATGGTACACAACTCCCTCAACCCGAAATAAACATGAAAACACCAATAGAGATTTACATACTAACGTATGATAGCACAATGGAACCAAAAAAGGTGATAACTCAAGAAGCTAATAGGGAATAAACAAAAATTACCCAGGATTAGGGCAAAGCCAATCACCATCTCTGCCACTACCTCCACCTCGACCACCTCCTCTGCCGCCGGCGCCACCTCTGCCACCACGATCTCCTCCTCCTGGATAACCGCCGCCACCACCGCCGCCGCCTCCTAATGACCACATCAAATCAGACTTCGCTCAAGATCCAATATAACACCAGCTCAAACCTAATTCATTCATCAATCTCACGAACAAAAAAAAAATAACAGAGACTCCGCGAATATGGGAATTACCTCCGTATCCTCCTCCACCACCACCACCTCTACCGCCACGACCTCCGCCGCCATGACCTCCGTATCCGCCTCCGCCACCTCCACCTCCATATCCTCCGCCGCCGTATCCACCACCACCGCCTTGGTAAGGCGGAGCGGCGGAATCACCGTTTTGGCCGTACATACCGGACATGATCTGGAAGTCCCTGCTTCGAATCTCCCCTGGTTCTCTGTGACTGTTAATCTACCTTCTCAAGAAGGAGCTGGAAAATCCACGAATATTAGGGTAGAAAATTGAAGATAGGTTTGGCCGTGAACGTGTGTACAAGGCTTTGTCCTCCTAACTCTTCCTTGGCGGTATAAAGAGGCCTCGATAGGCCCAATACGGATATTTTTATTCTGAGTTGTACTACAAGGCTTAAACCGCACCCGGCCCAGCACTGAGCGAGGACCAGATCTGGTAGATGGGCCGGCCAGCCCATTGTTGATTCACGCGCCTCCTATCTCATCTTCGCCTACACCCACGCGGGCCACGCCTCGCCCACCAATCACTTGATAATTTGTCTAGTTCAAGAATGGCCCCAACTGTTCTGGGTACAAACTAGGCCAATACTATGGTGCCGCTATAAAAATTGCGGCACCGGTGACGCTGATTCTTATTGGGCCATGTGGTGCTGATGTGGTATTGACTAGGTTCATTTAACCCAAGCCCAAATATTAACCGAGCAAGCTAGCCGAACCTGACCACCGTCAAACTAACGGGATGCCTCTTTGTCCATTTAGTTTTCGTTTAATTACATTCATTTTTCTCAATAAATAAACAAGCAAACAGGGGAATTCTTGGCGTCTACCTCGATCTCTCGCCTTGGGACTGTGAACTGGTCCGGCAAACTCCACCGTCGCCGATCAAACTCCAAACCCTCTTCTCGTTTAAATAGAAAATTATAAGAAAACTATTTGAGCCTCAAACAAAAATCGTTAACAGTAAAGGGCGAGGATAAAAATGAACTCAAAAAATGAATCGTCGTCTCCTCAGTCTCCCTCTCTGGTGACGGATGGCCTATCAAAATCACTTTTGACGACTCCGTCGTTGATCAAATCCCAAGGTCCAACGAAAGAATCTAAGGCTGATCATTCTCTGTTTCCTCCATTTATTCTGCAGAACATAGCCGTCGATTCCTGAGTCGTCACCTGTCACTCTGTCTCCGTCGAGTAGCAACTTTGCCACGATACCAGATGATCCCTAGTCAAAGAATAAGACAGCTAACTCCCGCTGCTTCTTCCCCATCGCTGTAAACCTTCCCCGTCAATTGCAAATTACTGGGAGTTGTTTTTACCATGGGCGGTGCCTTCTGGTCTGTTGCTGAATGCTTGGATTTTATGCTCGTGTGTTGTTTTTGGGGTGTTCTTATGTTCTGTCATACTTGTTGTGTCTTGTCATAATAGTATAGAGTTTTAGTAGGAACTAGGAAGACTAATTATCACGAGTTGCAACAAGTTCATGATTCGCAGTGAGAGGCATACGAATCTGGAGTAAGTAGCATTCGTTTTCCAGGTTATATTATGTTGATGGATTCGGTGTGTGGTTCGTTACATGTCTTAGCAATTCAGGAAATGTTTAAGGGTAAGGAGAATCAGCTGCCTAGAGTGAATTGGTCCCGGCATGCAAAGATATACACAAATATCATCAATACATAGGGAAGTTTTGAGCTTGTATTTTCTGTATTCTCTAGAATCACAGAATCCTCAAGTTGGATTAGTAATGCCCAGAAGCTAGGAGTCAGAGGTCCTGTTTTCCTCTTTGTTCAATGAACCGGGGCTTGGATCACCCATGTTATAGGGTTCGTTCCCTTTCCTAAGTGCTTGCGTCGAGTCCAACACGATGAATATGTTTGTTCAGGTTAGAAGCGGTTCAGCTCCACCAAACAACCAATCCACATTGGACGAAGAAGTTCCATACTGCACCTTTGATGTCTCAAACACACCACAATTTATTATCCGGGCATTAGCTAGAGAGTTAGGCCTCTCAAACAAGCGATCGAATTGAATTAGAGAAGTCGGTTAAAGGTTATAATAAATTCCAGCTAGAATTGCACATTCATCCATCATTCAGAACCTATGAAGGAAGAAAAGCAGGAGTGATTTGCAAACTTGCTTCTCGATTTATAATATTAGAAAACTCTATTGAGTTACATACATGAGTTGTCTTTGAAAGAGGTAGACAAAAAAGGTAGAACTCAGCCTGAAGGAGTGAAGGGTTAGCTTTGTGTTTCTATACATTGGAGCTTGCCCAACAAAATACATTTCTATTCATCAGTTCACTTACTAGTAACACTGCAAACAAAATCACTGTTCAGAGTCATTCAGTAACAACTCCTACCCCAAACTGTCATTCTTGAACCCCGCCACTTCATCGCTGAGCTGACTATGCACTCTCTTCTATCATTTAGAACGAAACCATTTTCAAGGTCTACCCTAGGGACGGATGAGCAGACACCCAAGTCTGCTGACTGAGAGACACTGTCGGGTTTTCGAACACCACCAGCACTTGCAACTCCTGGCCTAAAAGTATAAAATATAAATCAGTAATCATCAAAATAGTACATGATCATGTCATACAACAAATTCTGAATTCAGTTAAATAAAGACTAAAAGTCTAAAACAAATTGACTTGGGCTTATCAAAATGAACTAAGAATCAAGCATGGAAAGTGGAGAATTACTTCTGATAATATTTGGTAAGCAGACTGCACAATTACTCCAACACCTTAGTAAGTATCATTGTCCACGTTTTAGAACAAACCGCGATTCTGGTAATTACTAGAACTTTACAACCCGCCAGCATGATACACGCCACCCAAGTAAAATCTTAACTGAAAGTTCTTTGTAGTCCATCGCCTAAGATTTGTAAATGTACCACAAAGTATAGAAAATTGAACTGATAAACATGATCAAGAATTCAAAAAGCACCTTAAAATTGCATCATAATATTATGAGGATCTGTAGCTAAGGTGTTTTCACTCTTCCTGTTAGGCACATTACACTTCTCTTACTGCTTCAAGGCTAAACAAGAGATGGAGACCATGGAATAAAGAAACAAACAAGAAGGGCACCATTATTTGAACCAAAATCACCAAAGTATCACAGATACGAAAACATTCATCATTTATGCTTTCCTCACTGTTTCTGCATATATATGTAGATTCAATCAAACAAACATTATCAAGTAGGTTGCCGAAAACAACTGAAGAAGGGATCTCAAGTTTCTGAACAATTAACCACCAACTTAACACCTTAGTTATTGATGTATGCGTAAACAATAAACAGACCCAGTTGCACACCTGAAACCATGAGAGTCGCCGTTCAACCTTGTAGAGAATATGACCAGATATTTGAGTGATCAACATGGATACCAGAAAAAGGGGAAGAAGTGGTTCACAGGCAGAGAGTGACATACATTTCCGGATAAGGTACTTAAACGGAAATTACAAGTCAATTAAGATGGTGAAACAAAGGGGAATCACCATTTCATGTATACAAGTAAGGTGATAGAATACAAACCCTCACGTCCCCAAACTGTCATTCTGACTGAGCCTTCTTCTCCACTGCTTTTGTGGGGTGCAATTGAGCCAATCGAGCACTTCATGTAGCACTTTCTCCTTTTGTTTCTTCCCCGAACAGCTGTTTGTGAAGAAGTTCGTAATACCAGGATTCTTTGACACTGGATTGACAATCTGGATTGAAGAGCCTAGAACTCATTAAGGGAATCTTGGGTGGAGAAAACCTTGGAAATCGAGTTGAAATGGTTGGAACGAGAGGATATGGAGTGGGTAATCGTCGATGGGAGCGGGAGGAGCGGTTGATGATGCCGATGTCGATGCCCCTAGAAGCCGGAGGAGCTGCTCGCTGCGTGTGTGGTAGATAACTTCGCCGGACACTGCACTGTTTTCAGAATAAGACGAGCGGGATGGAGGAGACGTTTTTGGGTTTGCTTTTCGCGTTTTTTTATCGTTTTTAATTTCCAGAGAAAAATAATTAAACGAAAACTAAATGGAAAAATAAAACATTGCCAAAAAAATGGAAAAATAAAACCAAGGCATCCCGTTAGTTTGACATGGTAGGGTTCGCCCAGCTTGCTCGGTTAATATTTGGATTTGGGTTAAATGAACCTAGTCAACGCCACATCAGCTCCACGTGGCCCAATAAGAATTAGCATCACCGGTGCTGCAGTTTTTACAGCGGCACCGTAGTATTGGCCTACAAACTATGAAACAGCCTACTATTTACCACACGAGAAGCTACACTAATATTTCGGCTTAATTGCAAATTTGGTCACTAAAATTGCTTAAAATTTTCATATTTGCCACTAGAATTACTTTATTCCATACGTAGTCACTTAAATTAGTTCATCAGTTCAAGTTTGGTAACTCTCCGTTAGTCTCCGTTAACTTTGACCGACGTGGCAGTCAACTATAAGAGTTGACCGTTAAATAAGTGACGTGACAATTAAAAAATATAAACAAAATTAAAATTCAATATTTTAAAAGTTTCACCTCATTATCACAATAGAATAAAAAATACATAAAACAAAATATCATTATAATTACAAATTACAATTCAACCTGATTTTTTCCTTCTCGCTGCGGAAGTGGAAATCGGCGGCTTGGATTTCCATTTTCTTCCCCATCCCGGATTCCCAGTCGGATAAAATGCCAACCATCTCTGCTTTGCCCTTGCTTCTTTCTAAATATTCCAACAACATTTCCTGTCCCAGTAGCAAAGCAGAAGAAGAAGACACAGAAGAAGATGCAGAGTCGTCTGAGCAATCCAAGCTGAAGCTCAAATCAATTACCCCATTGGGGCTTCCTGGAATCGAATCCAACTTCCTTCGCTTCTTCCGTTGTCTTCCATTTTGGATTCCGAATGATGCCAATTCCATAACCAGTAGACTGCAACCATTTAGCTTCTCCTGTCATCACAAGGATTCACGAAATCCGCTTTAGATTATGAGATCTAACTCATTGAAATTGAAAATACCTCGCCGATTCCCAAAATGTCTAGCAACTGGTGTTGGTATTCGGCCCCAAGAGATGGCTCCACACCATTGATGACATGAAGCATTGCAGTCGCGGCCACTATAGATGGTGCATAACATAATGATAGAATCTGGAAGAAGAAAAAACGAACAAAAAGTCAAACAAAGAAGCAGAGTTTCATACGAGTCCATGGTGGGACTAAAAACTCTCTATTCGATTTTCCTGGCCTGAGATTAGGGGTGGGCATTGGTTTGACCAAACCACTCCAAACCGCGCCAAACCGCTCCTACGGTCAATCCAAACTGTACCGTTAACTATCGGTTTCGTTTGCGGACTAACCATTTAGTTGTTAGTGGTTCGCGGTTTGGATTGACCGAAACCACATGGTTACGGTTCAAAACCGCAAACCGCTAATTCTACCTGAAGGTCGCCCACCACCAACGCACGAGTAGCTTTGTAGAGATTCTTCTTCCTCACCGCAAACCGCAATCCTCCCGGCGGCGATTCTTCTTCCTCACCCAGTCCCCGCCAGATCCGCACCATTCCCTCGCTCGCTACCCGGCGGCGATTCTTCTTCCTCATCCATACCTAACGATTCTTCTGTTCCTCTCGACGTTGCACAACACCAAGAGACGAGAGATTCCGAGCTTCATAGATTGACACCGACGACGCTTCCCCTGACCTAACATCCAGATTCGCACCTCCGCCGGCCTCCGCATCCCGGCTCACACCGTCGTTCTGGTACTCTCTCCCTCCCTCTTCATATCCTTGATCGGTTTCTTTTGGATTCAATCTCGAATCAACCGCATGTCTTCCCGTCAGACCTCCGCCAAGGCGGCGACCGACCTACTGATCCTTTTGCCCTCCGTGGGTTTTCTAGTAGGAATAGAGTTACATATTGGGTATGCTTGGTGGGTTGATTAGATTCGTCACGTATGGATCTAGGGTTGTTGTTACCGTACCCGAAATCGGAAGAGGTCGGCGATTAGGTTGGTTATAGGGTTTCAAATCTTTCAGTTGATGCAACCGATTTTGTAGTTTCTCTACCTATAAATTTTAGAGTTGCAGGTTTCTGGTGATTGATTTCGCTGGGTTGTCAGTTCTTAAATTACTCTTAGGCCTTAGCTGTTGGTTTCATACTACCAGACAATTGATAAGCCTGATGGAATGAGCAAGAGCTTCACCGGCGGCCGGGTTGAATTCAGACCATTTTTAAGTAATTTAAGAACCAACACAGCCAAATGCAGACCATTTATGCTGAATTCTAAAGGCTTTTTGAACGATAACGTACATCTAGATTACTATGCGATTAAGCTATGCGATTGCTTTAACATAGAAAGGGGAATCAAGCGTAACAGTTGTTACGACTAAGAACATGAAGTATATATGCTAATTATTTGAGGGTGACTTTGATTAGCTTTCTTGGGCATATTAAAAAAATAACAAGAAGAGCTTTTGCTTTTACAATAATAGATTAGATGGGGTCATCATCTCCTTCTTCTTTTCTTACTTTCGTTTTTTTAAGGGAGGGCTCCCATGGTTCTGGGGTGTGCTTTAGTTTGTTAAGCTGGTGTTGTTGATGTAGCTCTAGTTAGATTGTAATGTCTGTATTACTGTGTTGTGCTAAGATATAAAGAACAACTCATTAGCAATGGTGTAAGAAATGCTCATTTACTCTGTTGTTGTTTTAGGTCGAGTGTGATGATGTTGAAATGGATTCCTCAAGTGGGGAGGAGATGGAAGTCGAAATGGATGCAAGTACGAGCAAGATGGCTGCTAGTGATCATACTGGTTCAGCTTCGACTTGCATCATTAGTAATTGAAAGGAATGGACGTTCAGTCCCATGGGTTATAGTTATTAAAGTATTGTCCCACTGTGAAAAAGTATTGTCCCAGTTGCTGCCTTCATTTACCTACTGGTTGGTGAAAATCTATTCTTACAGGTGGTTTGTTTATTAAGCCAGCATAGGTCTTTTACTAGATATTGAAGTATTTGTTTATGGGAAATCTATTCTTACAGGTTGGTGGAAACTACAAGGAAGCCATCAAAGCCGAAGTATTTGTTTGGATCTTTTGCTGAACTTGACCATGAGAATGTGGAGACTACAATTCAGAATGGGTGCTGAAGTTTTTTGGTGTGCTTTGTAGAAGATTTTAGTTAGCCTATTTGTGGAGATGCAAGGCATGGGGAAATCGGGCCTTCGCTTATCTTGATGTTCTTGTGGGTAGTTTCTAGTTGGAACTTTCAATGGCATAGACAAGTACTTGCTTTGTTTGCATCAGCTTAACGTAGTTTTCATTAGTCTTTGTAAAGAAGAGTTTTGTTGAGCATATGCTCTGTTTTGGTGGCAGGAAACAGAGCAATGTGGAGAGGAACCCTGCCATTTTTTTTTTTTTTGCTATTATTTCAAAACTACAACAGATAACTAAGAATATGGAGCATATGCTCTGTTTTGGACTTTTGGTGGCAGGAAACGGAGCAATGTGGAGGGGAACCCTTGCCATTTTTTTTCCTGTTATTTCCAAGCTTCCTTCTTTTCTTGTTATTTGCGGTCAAAATGCGGTGCGGTCTAAACATGACCAAACCGTTAACTTATGCGGTTTGGTTTGACCACACCGATAACTTCGTGGTCAAAGATGCGGTGCGGTTTACATAAATGTGGTTCGGTGCGGTTTATAAAAATGCGGTGCGGTGCGGTCCGAACCGTACCAATGCCCACCCCTACCTGAGATTATTGAGACGATTAACCGCTCGCATCGACTGACGAACTACAAGCAGAGATAGTCCTTAAGTCCCAACCGCCTCGCCATGTAATCGAGGAACGACATTGGAGTAACAGGGTTCATCCGCCATTTAATGAGGTGGAAAATTAAAAATATTAATTTTTTTTATTTCTTAATTGCCACGTCACACGTTTAACGGTCAACTCTCAGAGTTGACTGCCACGTCAATCAAAGTTAACAGAGACTACGGAGAGTGACCAAACTTGAATTGATGAACTAATTTAAGTGACTACGAATGGAATAAAGTAATTATAGTGGTAAATATGAAATTTTTAAGCAATTCCAGTGACCAAACTTGCAATTAAGCCCTAATATTTCTCTAACTTCCTGCAATGGCACAAACACCATTGGAGCAGGATTTCGAGCATCAAACCGATTCATTTCCACAAGGAACCAAGGAAGGCTTTTGTTGCATGAGAAAGGCGAACCAACCATGGCAGAAGCTTCAATACAAGTTCAGTCTCTTGGCACCCATACAAAATAATAGCTCTCTGTGGAAGTGTTTCTTGAAGGAGTCATTCATTCTTCCTTCTATACAAGCACGGTTATTAATAAGATCAACAACCAGAAAAGGCAGACCCTGCTATGGGAACCAGCTTCAGAAGTATCAAGCTCAATCCAGAACCGGCAACTACCAATGGACGGATCAACAGTCGTGATCAATCCTAACCCTCCAAAATCACAGCTATCTCGCGCCTGATCATGCTGTTGATAGTAATTGTTGAATGCATAAGATGCATTCCCTGGCCAGCTGAGGTTGGAACACGACCCACCGGGCGAAAGTGCTGAGCAATCCGCAGCAGAGCATGCATCCAAAACACGGGCACTTGCATTAGAGACGTCCTTATTATTATCCACAACACACCATTTGGAAGGCAGATAATCAACTTCTTGTGCATTCACCAGGTCCTTGCTACTCCCTTGCCCAAAGTCAATCCGATATTTCGCCTGCCCATCAAATGTGAACACTCCCCAGTGCCTCTCAAATCCCCCACTTGCTATGCTCCTCTGGTTCTCATCGAAAAGGCTGAATATAAAAATCTCTGATGGCGGATTCTGAGGCCTAAGCGCTGTCCCTGACTTGGCATGAAGACGTTGCATCAGCGCTTTCATGAATATCTCCGCAGTTTGTGAGGAAGCATTAGCTGCTCCATCAGTGGGCCAGCCCACTCTCGCGACAACAATGGGCATACCGGGAAACCCAGCAGCAGATAGTGCAGCAACTGCATTGTCATGGGTCAAATCGAAGCTGTTTCTGTATGTTCTGCTGTGGGTATCATTACGAGGGCGTGCAGTCTCTTTGAACAGTGCAAAGTCGAGGGAGACGTTCTTATCTTGCAGGAAGCTGAGAAAGGGAGAGATGGTTACGAAGAAGGGCGAATGATGCTTGTCGAGGAATGTGAGGAGCTCGAGCATTGTCTTGTTGAGGTCAGGCCTGAAGTGTGCCTTGGATGGTAGACCTGATTCTGACTGAATGGAATCTGAACTGAGAGGAACCACCACTTTTATTTCACTCCCCAGGCTCGCTTTCGCTAAAGCTGATTGCACATTGATGACCGCGCCAATGACAACTGAATGGAACTGCTCACCATACATCTGGTGAAATGGCTCATCTCCCACAGCAACATTCCTGTAAGTGAAAGAATCAAAAGAACAAATGGGTTTATGCTTGCAAAAATTAGCAACTCTGTATAGTATCGCTATAGCTAGCTTTAAGAACATATATGATATGATCAACATATCGTGAGCTTACTTTGAGTTAAATCACCGCTGCTATATTCAATGCTCTGTAAGAAAGATAACTAGAAAAGGAGGTAAGTATGCAACAAGGTGCTTGGGAGAACTGGCACTCAAAATGAGAGACCCTTAAAAACAAACCCAACTCATTATATATAGACCAACACTGTCACACTGAACATCATCTAGAATCCCTGGGAATAAACGAAATGAAGTTGCCATGTTTTGTACATATCTTTGAATCTGCAGTTATCTTTTAATGTTCAGTAGATGGAGCATTCTCGAGCGAGACAAATTATCAAGCGGTTGGTGGGCACTGGGCAGCAGTAAGAGCAAGAACCACATGTCACACAAATCTCATTTCATCACCATTTCTAGCTCTTTTCTAACTTCTGGGCAAGGCCTATTAGGATTCCTATTTCCTAAAGTCGCCAAAATCATCAACAAGCGAATAATCCAAAAACAATCATCAAACTACGAGTCTAGGACTTATGACGAGCAGCAATGGATAGTAGCGGGGAAAGAACTGTACTCAATTCGGGCTCCAGTGCGGGCGGTGGAGAAGAATCGGGTGACATTGTCGTGGACCCAGCTCTCGGCTGCTTTCTTGGAGGAGTTGAGGGTCTTGAGCATGGAATTGGGAATGCCGACGGTGACGCCAATGTTGGAGCCGGAAAGAGCTTCGAGGACTAGCGGGTCGGAATCGAACAGCCTGACTTTGGTAATGTTGTTGGACTTCAAGAGCTCCACTACCTTGCGCGGCGGCAGCGGGTGGGAGGCCGTCGTGCCCCAGCTCACGCCTAGAGCTTGGACCTTGGTTGAGATGGTGGCGGTGAGCAGGAGGAAGAGGAAGGGAAAGCAGAGATTAGGAGGAGGAGGCATTAGACTATTGGAGCTCGGGGTTTACCCAGGTCCGGCGGATGTGAACGTTCGGAATTTGTCCTAGAAGCAAATGAAAGAACGAATACTGAGTGGCACAAAGCGAACGAGCAGAGCGGCTGAACAACAGTTCTCATTAATCCTTTTCTAGCATGTAAATTTGCAAATCATTTGGCTTTTGAGGCGTCACCCACATCGGCCAGATAGAAGAGAAAAATATATATTTTTAGATGGCTTAAATGAAAATTTCATTGAATAGTAATTGTTTGGGCGGCAAATAATATTGTTAAACAATTATTTGTAGTTCATACAATTATTATTATTATGTCTTGCTTGATTTTTTTCAAATTCTCTTCCTAAAAGGTAATTTTTGTAAATTTCATACAATTACAATAGTAAAATTGTTTCATATTGCTAAAAACCGTCTACAGGTTTACACTAGAGTATTAAAAAAATTCAGTCTTACTACTGGTACGGTACGGTTTTACAAACATAGGTTTTTTACACTCCAAACACTTCTCAATCTCCTCTTCCACGAATTATTGGGGTCACCTGCTATCATTGCATTCCCATAGTCGTGTCGTGTCTCCCTCTAGTTATTTTAGTTAAAGGGTCATTAGCCGCCCATATAAGAGCTACGAAAAAATCGACACAATTCAGAAAGCCTCGAAGAGCTTATCTTATGTGCACGAGAAATGGTGACGGAGCTTGCCTAGTGTGGCGCTGGCACTACGTCATTCTAATCCACTCCACCTACAAGACAAATAAGGTTGGGAAGACATGGCTCGAGATGGTAGATGTTACCCCATGAGTGATTTTTTTATTTTATAAATAGCCTATATTATTTCATTTAGTTGTCTAAAATATTACGATTTTTCCAACTGGAGCTGGAAAACTAAAAATATAGGGAACCTATAAACCCAAAATTATGGTTGATCCCAGTTACAATTCGTGTGTGCCGTAATGTTGGCGGCCTCATTACTTGTTTGGCCTAAAAAGGAGAAGATATTAGGCCTAAATAGCAATTAGATATTGTGTTGCGAAGGGTTAGAAGGGAGGCATCTAGCTAGCATGGCATTCTAGTGAGTTGTAAGTCAATTTAGTGAATGCAAGTTGACAACACCTCACGATCAAAGTGTCTAAATGGTGGATGCCAGCAACTTTCACTTTATATTATAAGAGTAGGGTTGGTTGAGGCTATGAAGGCTTTCCAACTTGCTTCAATTAGGGATGAACTATGAAGCATTTTAGAGTAAAAGATTCACTTTTTCAGCTGGATCCGAGCCTTGCTATTCTTTTGTCTGAAAAAACTTTATTCGCCTTCACGACTGACTGCTCAATGGAATATATGCTAGCCCACAACACAAATTCCACTGGCAACTTTGGGACCATCTAATTGCTATTAGCAGAAGTCACAACCTATTGTGGCTGATCACCAGAGATTTCAATGGTGACTGTTCCCCGTCAGAGAAGTTGGGCCTTCCTCATCTAATTATGTTCATCGTTGTCATCGCTTCAACAGTTGGATTAGTGATGCTAACTAGATTGACATAGGTTTTTCAAGTCCTCGCTTAACATGGTCACGCGATGACGCGAAGATACTCGTTAAACTCACAAAGCAAGCATAATCGACCGATGTCTTTGCAATGCGGAGTGGAATTCCATCTTCCCCAAATCATTTGTTATGCATCTGCCTAAACTCCACTTGAACCATCTTTTGATTCTCACGACAAGCTCAGGTCCAAGCGTCCAACTAGCACCAAGGTTGTTGGCAGACCATTCCGTTTTGAAGCTATGCGGAGGACACGTGATTGTCTCCTTCAGGCCGCCCTTATCTTGAACCGGAAAAATATATCTTCTAATGATGGTGATTAAATTTTAGGCCTCAAAAATAAATGAAAGATGCATGTTGATGAGATAAGGGGTGGGCCTTTGAGATTAGTATGTTTGGTGTTAATGGGTTAATTAGTCGTAGGTTTAGCATGTTAATGGGTTAGTAGTTACTTAGTGCAAGGGCTTGGGTAGGTGGCCGAGTGGCCTAGGGTAATTAGTAGGATTCGACTATATCTAGGGTTACGTATTAGGATTAGTCTCCTATATATTGTTACTACTACATTAGTCTGGTTTAGCGAATAATAAACTAAAGGTTCATCGACACCAACGTCATTCTCTCGCTTGTGAGTTACAAGCAAACCCTCGAGTCGTGACGACACAACTCGTGCCCAGGGCTTGCGGCGAAGAGCCGAGGAGCTGCGCGAGATCATGCGAGTCAGCTTAAAAAGAAGCTATGAACTACATCAACAGTGGGAGCAAATCAAGAAAGGGTTGCAACCCAACCCCACCCGTGCGGCCGCTACCAGCGGAAAACGGAGTGATGGCGACGTGGCCCATGTCGACGCCAATGAAATCAGGGCAGCGAAGGATCTCAAAATCTCTGCCAATAATATCGTGGGAAAGGAATCGGTGCCCAAAGGTGAACTTCACCTCGACGAGGCTATCATCCCTTGATATGGAAGTTGTGAGAAGGAGGCGTCAAATGACGGAGCTCATGCAATAAGGAGATCGCAGCTGGAGTTTGGTCCAATTGTGGTGGTGCTGTTGTTGGCGGAGGAAGCTTTTCGGGTTGGCACGAGAGGCCTCCATCAACGTGGCGTCTGTTAGGTGGAAGTTTGGAATTTGATGTGCCGAAAATGAGTTTGTGGCAGCGGCTACTTGTCCCTCCACATAAGCACACAAGGAGGAGACTTTCTTGGGGCCAATATGATGTTTATGGGCGAGGTATCTCACACCTCTTCCTAGCTGGCCGAAACGCAAATGCTAGAAGAGTTACTGTGGCGGAAGTTTTTGAACTTGCCGATGTCCATGCTGTTGATTTGGGAGTCCAAACAATTCGACTAGCGATGCATGCTCTAGTCATCACGTGGATGACAAACATAGGTCCAACTGCAAATTGGAAATTCCGGAAGCAATGCAAGAGCTTCCACCGCCATCATCGTCTACCTCCACGACATGGATTGAACCTTGGAGACCAAGGTTTTTTGAGGGGGAAGGAATGATGAGATAAGGGGTGGACCTTTGAGTTTAGTATGTTAGGTGTTAATTGTTAAGGATATTCCCTCAAATAATTAATGTATTTGTTTATGCTAGATTACGTACGTAGTGGCTTTACTTAGTGGCTCCTTATTTGTAGTTGTGTAGGTTGAGGTTCTGTTGTAAAGTGACTATTTAACGTCACTCTCCTAACTAATACAAAACACATCATTGTAGCCATTCAAGTCTCCACATGGTATCAGAGCGCACACTCCGATTTCCTTAACCACTTCCCTCAAATCTCGATTCTCTTCCCTTCATTTCTCGTCTACCTCATTCTCTCTCCCATATCAATCGATCTTCTCTTCTCACCATTCTTCATACGATCTTTCCCAAACAGTCGTTGCACTCCTTTCCCTGCCCACTGCAATTATGGCTGAAAACTCTAGTGAAACGGTGATCAATCTTGATGATGCTAACACTATCATCACCCTCAACCTGGCGGCCCAGCTACCCACCAAGCTTATCGCTGAGAACTTCCCCACATGGCGCGCCCAGTTATTTACTCTTCTGCGAGGACTTTACCTGCTGAAGATCTTCGATGGAACTCATCATGCCCTTGCTGCTACGGCCACTCTCGTTGCCCACACGCGTTGGTTCAGGCAAGATCAATTAATTCTGATATGATCCCAAATTGCCAATCATTCACGTCACAATTAGTTGACAAAGAAGCTATCGAAGTTGGGAAGAAAAAAGCAGAATTTGGTCAAGTGTTGGAACAGTTTCGAGATGCATACTTTGGAGGCATGATTCACAACTGGCTCACTGAAAATTGGATTTCAAGGGCTTGTTTTAAAGTTAAAGTTGCCATCTTTCCAATGGTATGCTTTTTGGATCCAGACGAAGTCATTAAGGTTGTTTTCAAAGGCCTCAAAGTTGCTACCTCAAAACAGGAAAACTGCCAGAATCTGTCCAAGTATAAATCTCTGTTCATGAAGCCTACTTTGGAGCTCAATTAGAGAAGCATGAAAGGGATTCAAGTCCAACGGCTTATACAACATGAAATTAGGTATGTTTATCTACTAAGAGAATGAATTGGATGAAAGATTAGAGTTGTGGAAGGCCTCGAACGAAAGGCGCGAAGTTAGTACGAAAGCTGCTTTTGGACTGTTTGCTGGCAGCTTACTTGTGCTTCAAGAAAAGGAGTTTGAGTCCGAATTTTGTAACCTTTTTAGAGTAGTATTTTAATTAAATTGTTCCTAGTTACATTAGGTTTGTATTAGGTTTTCTTTGGCTATAAATAGCCTTCTCTTTTCGTTCTAAAAATTCAGATATTGATCAATTGAATTGAAAACTTCGGTTTTGTGCAAGTTCCGACTTGTTTTGGGTTTGGTGGATTCCAAACTTGCTGAACTTGTGTATCGATTGAATAGTCACTTCATTCGTGGTCGAGCAACTACCCTTTTATACCATACGAGCTTTCCCCAGGTGTGGAGTTGCCCTTTAGTTCCGTTTTATCCCAATTTCGTATTAAGAACGTTTTGTTCTTGATTCGAGTTGTTGCTTGAGTTTGACAACATACACCCCCCAGGGGCATATTAAATTCTTCATGCCATTCTTGCCTCGATGTCCCCGGGTGTCTCTCCTTATGTCTTTGCGGCTGAGTCCTCCTGGGAGGCATGGACGACCTTGGAATGTATGTTTGCCAGTCAGTCCCGTCAAAGAATCATTAGCCTTACAGAAAATCTCAACAAAGAGGTCCAAGGCGCGCATCCGGTCTCGGTGTATCTTCAGGTTATGAGAACCACTGCTTTTAAGTTGGCTCTTCTTGTCATGACCCAGTTGCTGATGAAGACTTGATCCTCCATGTTCTCCGCGGGCTGCATGAGGAATATGGTCAGATTGCTGCTGCTGTTCGTGCACGAGATACGGCTATCAAATTGGAAGATCTTCATGACCACATTGTTGAATACGAGGCGGATTTGGCTGCCATTCGTCAGGTCTCTTCTCAGGCTCCTACCTCCGTCTTCAATTCTAGTTGTGGGCTCCCCTACTCCCGTCCTTCTGGTCCCCATCACGACTCCCCACCACTGCCTCCGTATGAAT